CACAGTAGTTCATGTTGTGCTCTCTCTCTCGCTCTCTCTCTCTCTCTCTCTCTCTCTCTCTCTCTCTCTCTCTCTCTCTCTCTCGTGTGTGTGTGTGTGTGTGTGTGTGTGTGTGTGTGTGTCCCATTTGGGTAATAATAGAGTTCAGATTTATTTTCCAAAATTTAGAGCTTGCCTTATAAAATATTAAAATGCTTATTAATGTTTAGGAAAGTGGCTGAGGCACTAACATATATTGCTAGCAGCATACTGCTGTTCTTCAGCTACATACTAATTAGCACACATATAAAAATACCTCACTTGAATTTTGTCTTCATTTTTCAGAAGACACACAGGGAAAGGTACAGAAAATGGCAAAGGCCATTACAATAAGCTATTTTTAGCTGAAACATTGACCATTAACTAAAACACGTCAAATAATACCTATGAACACATAGCCATTTTAAAGATTTCTGAAATTTTCACTTGCAAATAGAAGTGAATTCTCATAACTTGCTGAAAGCATACATTTGCAAACTATGAATCTTCTAAAGGTTTTAGTTGCTATGTCTGAGTATGGCATTTCCTCACTGGGTAGTAGAAATTATTTTTTGTTTAGTTCACTCTCTCTAATAACTATAAACTGCATTTGCAAGGTAACTAAGAAGTTGTATATGTATCCTCACCCACAGATCAACCCTGAATACATACATTATTTTATTTAGTAGATCCAACTAATCAAAACTAAAATTGTGTTGTGAAAATATCTATGCAGTTGTGTGACATCCATAATTCTATAAACAAGAAACTAAATACTACGTCTTTTGCCTTTTGCCACAGTCAATAATTAAGAGTCCACTGACCAAGAATTATTCTGTTCAGTTAATTTCAGGAGTAAGATGGTTTTAGATATATGCTTGATGGGAATTTTGCATATAAATTCTTTTTTGGCCTCCTTTCCACTTAAGTATCTTTGCTGAAATAAAATAAAAGTAAAATAAGAAAGTGAACACAAGACAAAATAGATCATCCATTCCTGGAACTTTTGACGTCGTTACTCCACGTTCAGCAATAACTTTAATTATGTGAACTAGTAACAGGTAAATGTATCTCTTGTAATTTACTGGGACTGGGGGCAATTTCATATATCCACAATAAACGAGTACCTAATTCTCTTCTTATTAGTAATTGACAATAGCAAAAAGTTCCACCTTTGTGAACCCCAATTTTCTAAGTTAAAAGGGAAAAATGATAGTATTTTCTTCAAAGAATAAAATGAAATGAAACCATTTGCACCAAGTGCTAATCATAACATAAGGTCTCAGATATTAGGTCTTATCGCCATGTCAAAGTGACTGCTGAGGGCTGAATATTGCCCCCCGCTCTGCCAAACTGAGATGTTGAACTCTGACCGTCACCATAACAATGTAAAGGTATTTGGGGACAGGATCTTTGGGTGGTAATTAAGTAATGAGGGTACAGCTGATGGACAGCTTTTAAAAGGGAAGGCATTGGAAATCTCATTTTCCACTGTTTTCCACCTGTGAGGACACAACCCAATTTCAGCTTTAAACTAGCTCCAGGTATCGGCTTTTTCTTACTTGGTTCATGGTTTACCAGGCACCCAAGTTTTAAAAATCAAGTATATGTGGTTTAAACAACATAGTGGGGACATTTTGCTATACAAGATCAAGTTAGTATGAAAAGCAATGATTTCTGAAGTTATTACATTTACTACTTTGAATTAAATATTGGCAGACCTTTTAGGAAATGATACAAATAGTGATGAGAGGAGCAGAAATTAAGGGACTGTAAATGACACTTGGGCATTTTCTGTACCATCTAAAGGGTCATACTACAGTTCTTTAAAAAAACTGCCTACTGTTTCTTTTCATTAAGGAATTTATTTATATTTCAGAACAACATTTTTTAAAACAGAATACATAGACCAAGGCCAAGAGTCTAAAACAGTGGTTCTCAACCTGTGAGTCATGATCCGAATGACCTTTTCACAGGAGTCACATATTGGGTATCCTGAATATCACATATTTACATTATGATTCATAACAGTAGCAAAATTAATTTTATGAAGTAGTAACAAAAGTAATTTTAAGGTTGGGGGTCACCACAACATGAGGAACTGTATTAAAGAGTCCCAGCTTATGCTGGAGAGGATGTGGAGCAAAGGGAACACCCCTCCACTGCTTGTGGGTGTGCAAATTCGTACAGTCACTTTGTAAATCAGTATGGCATTTTTCTTAGCAAATTGGGAATCGATCTACCTCAAGACCCAGCTATTTGGGGCATATATCCAAAGTATGCTCAATCATACCACAAGGATCCTTGCTCAAGTATGTTCATAGCAGCATTATTCATAATAGCCAGAATCTGTAATCAACCTAGATGCCCTTCAATCAAGGAACAGATAAAGAAAATGTGGTACATTTATACAACGGAGTATTATTCAGCTGTTAAAAACAATGACATCATGAAATTTGAAGGCAAATGGATGAAATTGGAAAAAATCATCCTGAGTGAGGTAACCCAGACTCAGAAAGACAAACATGGTATGTACTCATTTATAAGTGGATATTAGCTAAAAAGTAAAGGATAGCCGTGCAACCACAGACCCAGAGAGGCTAGGTAACAAGGAGGGCCCAACAGGATACACATGGATCTCTGGGGAAGGGAAAATAGAAGAGATCTCACGAGTGGACTGGGGGTGGGAGGAAATGGTTTGGAACTTGAGGAATCAGATTGAGGGGGAGAATACTAAAAGAGATGACTAGAAAGGGGGGCACTCATTTCAGGGTCAGGTAGAAACCTGGTGCAAAGGAAACTTCCAGAAATCTACAAGGATGAGCCCAGCTAAGACTCGTAGCAATGGCAGGTGCATAGCCTGAATTTGTCATCTCCTGTGACTGGGTGGAACTTCCAGTGGAGGGAATGAGATACCAGCCCAGCCACACAACCTTTGACCTACAGTCTGTCCTGCTGGTACGATGTGTGTGTTGTGTGTGTGAGGGGGGTAGGGGGGAATGCAGAGATTGCAGGAATGCCCAACCAATCATTGGTGCAGCCTCAGAACCATACCATGAGAGTGAGCCCACCCCTGACACTGTCTTGAGTGCCAGGACCCCAAGGCTGGATGGCCTAGAGACCTAAGATGGAACCAAACATGACTGGAGCAGGGAAAATGTCAATGTAACAATGCCTAATGATATTCTGCTATACTCATAGACTGGTGACTACACCAATTGTCATCAAAAAGCCCTCAACCAGTAACTGATGGAAACAGATGCAGAGTTCCACAGCCAAACACTGGGCTGAACTGGGGAAATCCTGCTGAAGAGAAGAAAGAGTGTACCAGTCCTGGTGGTCAAGGACATTGCAACAGAAACCACAGAAACAACTAACCTGGGCTCAAAGGAGCTCACAGAGTCTGGACCAACAGCCAGGGAGCCCGCATGGAACTGACCTAGGTCCTTTACATATGTGTGACAGTTGTAATGCTTGGTCTACTTGTGGGACTCCTAGCAGTGAGAACAGGGGCTGTCCCTAATGCTTTGGCAGGCTTTGGGGAACCTATTCCGCATACTGGGTTGTCTTGCCCAGTTTTACTACAAGGGGAGATTAGTTCTACAGCAACTTGATATGCCATGTTTTGATAATATCCATGGGAGGCCTGCCCCTTTCTGAACAGAAACAGTGGAGTAGAGTAGAGAATGGAGGGAAGTAGGGAGGGGGAATGGGAGGAGAGGAGGGAGGGAAGACTGCAGTCAGGATGTAAAATAAATGAGCAAAATTAATTAATAATAAAAAAGAGTTCCAACATCAGGAAGGTTGAGAACCACTGCTTTAAATTATTCTCATACGGAACTATAATATGCTTCTACTTAGAAAAAGTAGCAATTCGTCTGTTTTAGTTACTGTTTTCATTGGTGTGTTCTACACGTCACAAGAAGCCATCTAAGGGAGGAAGGCTTTGTTCTGACTAGCTGTTCAAGGACTCAATGCTTAAGCACTTGCTTTTATAGAGAACCCAGGTTCAATTCCTAGCACCCCCATGGGAGCTCGCAACTCTCTATAACTCCAGTCCCAGAAACACCTTCTTCTGACCTCAGAGGGCACTAAGCATAGACATGGTGCACACACATACATACAGATGAAACCCTCATACATATAAAATGATAAAATAAAATAATTTTAAAGTTATTTTCAGATAAATAACTGAATAGTGAACTTTATCATCAGAAATATTTCTAAAAGACAGTTATTTCCTACACAATATTATAGCCAGTATTTAATTTTTTCTTTTTTATGTATAAGTACATTTGAAAATCCAAATACATAAATTTAGAGTTCTGGGACTTCTTTATGTGTTCCTTCTTTTATTTAACTCCTTTTTCCATTTTGTAAAACATTCTTAAAACTATTGTTTTTTGGCCGGGTCTTTTATTACACTAGTACTGAATAGCAGTTTCCTCCAAAATTGAAACATTGTAGTCTTCAGGGAAGCTCTTCAAGACAGAAAATAAACAACTCAAAATAGCTTCAGGAAGTTTCTGAAACTGACCAGATTCTCTAGAGTAAACAATAAAGACAGATGAGAGACTCTCAGACAAGCCAAACTTCAGAGACTCTTGAGACCACGCAAACTGCCTGAAAGAAGCAGAAACCTGTCTGTCTGCCTACAAGGGTATTAGACCAACTGAGTTACTTGGAAAGGACACTCCAACCTGTTGAGCTACCTGCAGGCTGTGCAGTATGCTCCACTCCCAGATTTTCTGAGCTAATGTTAGGGTCCTGGAAAAGTCCCACAAAAGACCATCATCCATGTATGCAATCAACAAGAGCATTTATTATGTCGAGAATAAAGGTACCAGCATGCTGGGGCCATACATCCAACAGAAGAGCAAAATGGCGACCAGGAGAGAGACTTGCAGGCTCATTTTATGCACAGTTAAGGGGAGTTTCAGGGACAGTTAGGTCATCTCATATATGACTGGCTTATGTGAATAGCAATCACATTAGTACAATCCTAATTGGCTAGGGCTAGCAGCAGCTGGCTAAGTCTATGGCTTTTCCATTTTGGGGGAGGCCTGACAAGTCCCAGGTTTTGTCTTTATTTGGTTATTACCTTGAGCTGCCGTGGAGGCACTTGCTATCTCCCTCACCCACAGCAGGGGCAATGAAGATTGATCATCCTTTTTTCATGGCTTCCTCAGAAATGGCCTGTTCAGTTTCAAGAAGCAGAAACTGAGGTGCAATTCTTAACTGAATTACTTGGAGCCTGTCATATTTGCCTGGCCTTTTCACTGTCATCTATGCTGGTATGTAAGGTGATATTGCATTCCCCAATATATTTTGCACCATAATAAACTTATCTGGGGTCAGAGAACAGAACAGCTACTAGACAGACACAGAGGACAGAAAATGGTGGCATACAGACCTTTAATCCTAGCATTCCGAAGGCAAAGATCCATCCAGATCTCTGTGAGTTCAAAGCCACACTGGAAACAGCCAGGCATGGTGACACATGCCTTTAATCCCAGGAAATGATGGTAAGAAGCAGAAAGGTATATAAGGTATGAGGACCAGGAACTAGAGCCTGGTTAAGCTTTTAGACTTTTGAGCAGCAGTTCAGCTGAGATCCATTTGGATGAGGACTCAGAGGTTTCCAGTCTGAGGAAACAGGATCAGCTGAGGAACTGGTGAAGTGAGTAAGCTGTGGCTTGTTCTCCTTCTCTGATCTTCCAGCATTCACCCCAATACCTGGCTTCAGGTTTGTTTTTATTAATAAGACCTTTTAACAATTCATGCTACAGGTATGGGCTTTGGTGACACCACTATCTTTGATTCATTTCTGCTCCTGTAAGTAATCCCAATAAAACTTGTTGGTTCACCAAATTGGACTTTGGTGATATCTCTACTTTACTCTGTTAGGTGTTGTGTCTCCTCAGAAAACATCTTGTCACACAGCATATAGAGAAATATTTTTATTCGTCATTTTAAATTTGCTGGGCACTATTTAGAAGGTCATGTGCTGGAGCTATGCCTCCTTGAGAAAGCACTTACCTAGCATGGACAATGCCCTGGGTTTTATCAACAGCAGAGGGCACTAATAAGAGCTGTTCCAATAAACAGGCTAACAACCACACTCACTCACATGATACACAGCCAAAGGATTCTATCTTATGTCAAAGCCCATCCCAAGACCAGGAAGACCAGGTAAGAAATCCGGATGTAGGGCTGATTCAACTTGAAGCTACATAAACTGTGATAATAGAAATACATAAATACATTTATCCAAACTGTACCCCTCAATGAAACATAGCATCCTCACATACAAAATAAATGCACATGTTCTCTAAAGTATCTTTCCAGCTAAAATTGTCTTGGTCTAAGCAAAAATAAATAAATAAATAAATAAATAAATAAATAAATAAATAAATAAATAAATAAGTTTACTAAAAAAATTGTATTTGTCACTTATAAAAGAAAATCGGTTATGGAATATGAATGATATTTTGTGGTTTTCAATCATTTGTCAACATAAGGAGCGTTGAAAAGAAGATGCACACAAACCTGTATTTGGTTAATTATTATGATTTAAATTTCCCAGAAGTTTAATGGAATGAGAGAAAGAAAACAAAATTGTTCATAAGCTTCATGTTCAGAGTTGATGACCTGAACTCTGCTTCCACATTTTTTTTCTTTATTGAAGGGTAGTTAAGGATATTTAATGACAAAATATACTTTCACTTGAGTGAATGTGTATGACTGAACTGACCACTGAGAATACAAATTAGTGGAACATTTGAAAAGAATTGTTGACAGCCACTTACCATTGATGGTGACCTAACTTTACACAGTGACAAAAGGAAAATATGAAATACGACCACCAATTCCAGTACCCTTTAGTCAACTCAGCTCAATTGGCAATTTGAAAGAGTATATTTCAACAAAACAAAAATGACAAGGACAGTTTATAGTGCTAAAACTAATTAGCATAAAGGATTATTATTTATTAATGCAGTAAAATTGAATTACTATTATTTATGAATAAAATTTCAAAGAGCAGAAATGAAAGCATTAAAGAAAAAATAAAATTTCTGTAACCAACCAAGCACTCTTCTTTTACTCCAAGAAAAAAAAAATCCATCAGTCTTAGGGATTTATATAAAACCAACTCTAGCTATATGTAACATATAGTTTTGAAAATTTAACTCCTAACATTAAATATAACACATAATGCAAGAAGATATATATAGATATAGATATAGATATAGATATAGATATAGATAAAGAGAAAACCTGACCTCTCAAAAGAGAAAAAAAGTGGATGGCACAATTAACAAAATTGTGAAGACTTAATAATTGGACTACTTCATAATAATTCTGGGTAATATAAAATGAAGAAAACCTTCAAAATTTAAGTTATGAAACTAATATGAAAATAAATTTCAACAAATCTGTAACAAGGTCACACAAAATATATTACTAATAAATCTTCCTCATGGATAATAAAACAGACATCTAAAATACTAGCCACATGAGTCTATAATCTTATTAAAAATTAATATCTAAGGATCATAAAGATTTATTCCAGAGATGAAAGAGTGGATCAGTGTTAAAATCATTCATTTAACCCACCATTATAGTAAATCTAAAGACAGGATGCCTTCTGAGTGTCTTTTTAAAACTTCTGATACATGTCAACACTGAGAGTCTCTTCATGTAAAAGGCAGCCAATAAATAGTAAGTTATTCCTTACCTACTTTCACAGAGAAAGAGAGAAAGAGAAAGTGCAATGCTTCACACTGTGTAAAACAACTAAAGTTATTCCTATTGAAGTAAACATCAAGAAATGTTCTACTGACTCCTTTGAATATTAAATTCAAATATGAAGAGAGTAAAAATGAATTCAAAAATTTTTTAAAGATCAGATAATATCAACATTTATTTATGAGAAAATCATTGAAATCTTTTCCCAAAATGTTGACAGGAAAAAATCTGAATAAGGAAATTACATGTAAAGATGTAACCCGAAGAGACAAATAACATTATTGGTGAAATTATTAAGGCCACTCCTTAATAATAATAAGTTAAAAGGGAGGTTTATTTAGTGGCGTAACTTACAAATGAAGGGATAAGTAGGTTGCAGAGTCTGGGGAAGACATAGTGCAGTCTGGTGGTGTTCTCTGGAGAACTCTGCTTGGTCTACTTCCAGCACCCAGGGTCCAGGAACCAAGAGAAGTTGGCACATCCGGATCTTGGGTCTTCAGGGCCCTGTCTTGGCCCCGCCCTGTAGGCATGACATTACCGAAGCCTCAATGGGGGTTGGAACTTCCAGATCAAAGCTGGAATGGCTACCCACTACATAACATTCCTACATAACATCAATAATGCATTAGGAGAGACAATAAAAAGAGAGACTCCATGTAAAATTTTTAAAAAGGTGTAGAAACTATGAGAGGTAAAATATTTACAAAACAAAGGGAGAGTCTAAACAAGAAAAAACATTTGCTAAGGCACAAAGAGTGAGAAAAGTCTTACTTAGGCATGCCAATTCACTGCAGATTAATTTAGCACAATTTTAATAAAATTACCACCAGTTCACTTTTTCCTAGAGCTAGACAAGTAGATTGTGTAGAAAAATGTGTTAGGAGTGAGGCTACTGTAACACACACACACACTCTCTCTCTCTCTCTCTCTCTCTCTCTCTCTCTCTCTCTCTCTCTCCTCTCTCTCTCTCACACACACACACACACACACACACACACACACACACACACACACATCTGTGGTGGTATTCTAATTGTACTGAAATGTGATTTTGATTGTATGTTAATAAATAAAGTTGCCCGGGGGTCAGAGCTATTAGAGCCATAGAAAGAGTGTGGCGGTGGTGGCACACGCCTTTAATCCCATAGATCTCTGTGTGTTCAGGGATACAGCCAGCATTGGAGACATATGCCTTTAAGACCTAGGGGGCCGTACATTCAGACAGTGACGAGGCAGTCACGTGTTTGGGTTTACAACCAATGAGAAGGCAGAATGACTATGGAAACGACTGACACACAAGGAAATAGCTCTCTTTCGGGAAGCTGGGACAGCAGGAGAAAGGGTGAGATTTTAGCTCTGAGCTCTGACCTCTTGGCTTTCTCTTCTACATTGTTTCTGTGTTTCTTATTTAATAAGACTGTTGGATACATCTACACACATCAGTTGTAAAAGAGAGCAGAAAGTATAATTCATTTACATTAAATTCAAGAACAGCCAAGGATTGGTTACACTTCATTGGGAATCAACAAGTGAGAATCCATCAGGTTGAGAAAAGTCTTTAAAATCTCATTTTGTGTGGTTGATAGAAGTATGTGTATATATAAAATGCTTCAAGATTTGTATAATTCATGGTATAAAAGAATACCTATTTATTAATAGACTTTAATTTTTGTGTATGTATGTTTTGCTCACACATTTATCTACGCTTTATGTGCATGCTTGTTGTGTTTCAAGACCAGAAGATAGTGTCTATTACCCAGAACTGGAGTTATAGGTGTTTATGAATATTCATGTTACTGCAGGGAATCAAAACCAAATACTCTGGAAAAGCAGTCAGTGCTCTTATCTGCTGAGTCATCTCTCTGTCTCCTGATAGACACTTTTATATATTTAGATTCATTGAGAAACAAAGGATCTAATAATGGCTTCTCATATATGTCCCTAACAATTCCTCCTGTCGTTATCCTATGTTAATGTGGTATATATTTTACACTCAACTAATGAAATGCTCTGTTACTAAATAAAGTCTAAATTTTTTATTATTGTATTTAATTGTATCCACTGTGCTGTGTAGTCATGTATTCACTATATTGTCATACAGAATATCATATTCTTATACTATGTGATATAATTATGCAGCATCATATGTAATAACTTCACAGTCTTAAATTTTTCCTGTACTTTAATGCTACATCATACCCTCTTTCTTTTTTTTTTACATTTTATTTTATAATTTAATTTAATTTTACATATCAGCCAAGGATTCCCTTGTTCTCCCCACCCCCAGCATTTCCCCCAGCCCACCCCCCATTCCCATCTCCTCCAGGACAAAGAGTCCCCTGGGGATTGAGTTCAACATGGTAGATTCAGTCCAGGCAGGTCCAGTCCCCTCCTCCCAGGCTGAGCCAAGTGTCCCTGTATAAGCCGCAAGTTCCAAACAGCCAGCTCATGCACTGAGGACAGGACCTGGTCCCACTGCCTGGATGCCTCCCAAACTGGATCAAGCACAGAAAGGGAGAACAAGGAATAAGAGACCATGATAAATGAAGACCACATGAGAATAGGAAGAAGCAAAGTGCTAGAGAGGTCCACAGAAATCCACAAAGATACCTCTACAATAGACTACTGGCAATGGTCGAGAGACAGCATGAACTGACCTACACTGGTGATAGGATGGCCAAACACCCTAATTGTCGTGCTAGAAACCCCATCTAATGACTGAGGGAAGCAGATGCAGGAGTCCAATTGGCAAGAAAGAGGAGGGTTTGTATGAGTGAGAATTGTTGAGACCAAGGTTGGAGAAAGCACAGGGACAGATAGCCAAACGAATGGAGACACATGAACTATGAACCAATAGTTGAGGAGCCCCCAACTAGATCAGACCCTCTGGATAAGTGAGACAGTTCATTCTCTCTTTCTTTAGAATTCCTAGCCACCACTGACCTTATCACTACCTCCCTAGTTCTGCCTTTCCAAGAATACCATATCATAGAAATCACACAGTAGTTACCTTCCCCACCTATCTTTTCCACTTACTACTATGTATTTAAGACATCTCAAAAGTGCATTTCTTTTTATCACAAATAATATGCATATACTAAAAACTGCTTATGAATTCACCTACTAAAGGAAATCTTGCTTACTTCTAGTCTTTAGTACGTAGGAATAAAGCTTCAAAATAACATTTATTTTAAATTAGTTTTCAACTCAGTTTGATAAACATAAAAAAGTACAATTCATAGATTATAAAGGTAATGCTTTGTTTAGCCTTATAATAAATTTCCAAACTTATATCCCAAATGGCTGCACTATTCTGTATCCTCGTCAGCAAAGAATGTGGATTCCTATTGTCTCATCTTTCCTACTGTCTTTCTAAGTAGATGTGTAGTGGAACCACTTGGTTTTAATTGCATTGTCCTAACAACATATGGCATAACATTTTCATATGCTAATTTGCTATATTTTTCTTGATAGATTAGAGATTATTTGCCATGTCTTAGTTGTGCATATTTTTTTATTTTTTTTTTGTCTCACAAGAATTCATTGCACATTTTGGATGCAAATTCCTTGTGATATATGTTTTGCTAATATTTGCTCCTAGACCATGGTCTGTCTTCTTTGTCTTACCAAAGCTTTTTTATCAAGACAGCTGATATAATTTTAGTAATATAAACATTATTTTCCTTTCAAATATTATGCTTTCTAAAAATATTATATGTATAGGTATGTGTATGTGTGTATTATTCTGCAGGTGTACCATGCATGTGTATGAGCCCACAGACATCAGAAGTGGATATCAAATCCTCTGTAGCTGGAATTACAGATAATTATGAACCATCATGTGGGTGCTGGGAACAAAACTATTGAGCCATCTCTCTAGTCTTATACTATGTTTTTGACATTTAAAAATCCATCCTTTACATCATTTTCCTATTACTTTCCAAGTATAAATTATGTTTAGCATGTTGCCCTTGGGCTCTTAGGACTCACTTTGAGTTCATGTTTGTAAAGCATGTGATGTTTCTATCTATAATCATTTTTATGTAAGTGTCCAATCATTGTAGCACCATCTGAGGAAAAGCATATGTTTCTTCGTTACTTGTTCCTTTATGTTTAGGTTTGTTTTGGAATCTCATTTCTATCCCATTGGTATATTGTCTACCACATTGTCAGCACCACATTGTCTTGATTACTGTAGATTTACAGGAAACCTATCTGTCAGGCAATGCCCATCTGCAACCATTGATCTTCTTTAATATTTTTTGTTTCTGTGGATTGATAATTTTCCTGTCCTACTTAAACTTTAGAATAAGTTCATTGATACCTACAAAATAACTCCTAAGATTGGACTAGCATGGTATTTAAATCAATCGATGAGCCAGGTTTGGTGCAACATCTCTATTATCCCTTTATTCTAGATGCTTAGGCATGAGGATTATCAGCTGAAGGCCAGCCTGATTTGCACAGTAAGTTCCAGACAATCATGGCTACATATTAAGAGTTTGTGTCAAAAATATTCAATAGAAGCCGGGCGGTGGTGGCGCACGCCTTTAATCCCAGCACTCGGGAGGCAGAGACAGGAGGATCTCTATGAGTTCGAGGCCAGCCTGGGCTACCAAGTGAGTCCCAGGAAAGGCGCAAAGCTACACAGAGAAACCGTCTCGGAAAACCAAAAAAAAAAAAAAAATATTCAATAGATTATGTGGGGATTGTGGAAGTGGAATATGGAGATTATTTGGTTTTTCTTTTATAGGCGTTTTGGCTATTCAAGTTTTCCTGATAAATCTTACACACAAGTTTATGATTGATCTTTTATGGTTAATTGTCATACTAATTCAAATGGCATTATGTTTTTATTAAATTTCCAGTCTTCATTTCAAGTGTCTCAGAAACCATTGATTTGGGGCATTATGCATCCTGTGTCCTTCAATTTTGCATCACAATGAGTATTTTGCTATTGTTGCTGATTTTTCTGGATTTCTAAAATAATCAAGTTTTCTGTGGCCAAAGATGGTCTTATTTTTCTCCAGTCTATGTATCTTCTATTTCCTTTTCTTGTTTCACTATATTAGCTAGACTTTCATGTAAAGTTGAGGACAAAGTTGTGAGAAGAAATCTTCTTGACTTGCTACACATCTCTGAAGGTAGATAACTTATTTGTGATAATTATGATAGCTGTGGCCTTTTGTAAATGTTCTTTGCCAAGCTGGAAGAATTCCTTTATATGTATTACTTGTTCTGGTTCTTTTAAGTCTTGATTTGATATTGAATTGTTTCAAATCTTTCAGTTTCTATTGATATGATTGGATGATTCTTCATCAGGCTACTACTATAAATGATAGCATTTATTGATTTTTAAATGTTGAACTAACAGTACCCACTTGAAACAAACATTTAGTCATGTTTTATAATTAATTTTATATATTCTATGCAAATTGCCAATACTTTATCAAGAAGTTTTACAAGTATGTGCATAAGATACACTAATACGTAGTTTTCCTTGAGTAATTTTCTTATTTGATTTTGGTATAAGGTTATTTTCTCCTCATAGAGTTAGAAATTATTTTGTTTGGGTCCTGGTTTTTTGTAAGATACTGTATAGAATTGTAATCATTTTTCTCTTTTTGTAAGAATTTACCAGTGAAAGCATCTAGACCTAGTGTTTTGATTTTAGTAGATATAACTGTTTTGTGTCCGATTGATCAGGGCACAAGAACTATTCTGAGTTGTCTGTGAAGATGGAGTAAAATGAGAATAGTATTTAAATTGGCAGAGTGATTGCTTCCAATTAGTTAACAGCCTGAATAGAACAATGGGCTTGCATCTGTGAGTAAGAAGAACTACTCCTGACACTTTGCTGCCAAGGATCTTGGACTTTCCTTCACTTCAGAAACACGAGCTCCTCCTTGGACTCAAGCCTGAATCCTTCCAAACTGCGTTTCACAGTCAGTTCTCCTGCGTTTACAGATTTCTGACCCTAGATATTGAGTTATTAAACAATAACAATTATGATTAATTCCTTATCATCCATTTTTTGGTGTTTGCATCTTAGTTGTTCTGCTTCTCTGGGGAACTCAAATATGCAAGATTATAAATTGATGATATAAATTCTTTCATTGACATCAGCTTAGTTATTTGAAACATTAGTTTGCATACTTCAACAAATTCATTCGTTGCATCCATGCTACCAATTCATTATCTTTATTATCCTTTTAATATCTGAAGGATCAGTTGTGATACCCTCTTTCTCCTCTGATATTAATGAACGTTTTCTTCTGAGTTCACCTGGATAATTTATCAGTTTTATTGATCTTATCAACCTAACAATATTGCATTTTAATTATATTAATTTTCTCAATCTATCTGTCAATTTTTACAAATAGTGTAGTGATTTC